CCGACTATGGATACCATTGTCCCTACAAAGTTTCAGCCATGTAACTTATGACCTAATTTTAGCCCCCCTGGGGGCTACTTTAAGGTGCTGCTGTGGCTATACGCCCCAGCAGTGCCCGATCTGACCAATTGATTTTTACTCCTACCGACACCTGCTACAAATTTGGAGGATCAAACCTTTTGTAACTGATGACCATATTATTTTGTCATTAGCTCCTGGACTATTAGACGCTTGGTAATCAAAATTAAACAGTGAGATTGAAATTCGATAGAAGTACAAATTGAGCACTATTCGCCGAAATTCAACAATATTTATGAATAATTGGACACAGAGTAGAAATTAGCGCTATATACGCTAGATTAAACGGTACCAATGTTACAGTGTAACTGAGCTGTTACTTCTATATAATTTCATGTTATGAATTATGTGTGACCATTGCTGTGCTGTGTTTAAAAGATAAAAGTTTATGACTTACAGCTACATGAATAAAAAAAACTTGAAAACTTGAAACTTGAGATGGGACGTAGTCGAAATGGGGGTGCATCTATTCGGCGGTGACTATGCTAACACAGAGAACCCACTTAGAGACCATGTTATAGAGAAGCCATATTGTGTAATAACATAAGATTACCCGGTATTAAATCAATGAGGCGGAAATGAAATGAAATGGGGTTTAACTGTTCTGCTCCTAAACTGGGTTAATGAAAACGGGCATACCCCGTACAGTGCGCTATGAAGGAAATTTTGCCAAGACGGCGGCCCTACGACCTACTCTTATATCGAATTCCAACTGCCAAGGGATCTTTTACGTGCAGGCCAATATGTACACGGGACCTCGGTTTTTCGTCCCATCCGAACGCGTAGACAGCTGTCCTTGTCAGGTCCTCCTTCCTGCATCACTGACAAGGGGAAACCACGCCGGAAAATCTAGATGAACTTTCTCGGCCAATGCAGGGATCGAACATCCGACCTCCAGACTAGCGAGCCAGCGTCTTACCCACTTTGCCACCGTGATCCCCCAAAAATCAGTGAGGCAGTTAAAAGATAAACACAAGGTTTTAAAAATATGGAAATATGTAATAAATTTGCCTAAAATTTTTAGATTTTAGATTTATCAACATATTTAATAATTTAAAAAAAATAATTGATAAACATAGTGGAAAATGAAAAACATATGAAGACTATAAAATATTTAAGATATAACATAAATATTTGGATAACATTATTAAAATAAGGTATTTATAGTCTTCATATGATTTTCATTTTCCACTTTGCTTGATAAATACAAGAGAACCCTCGTCGAAACGTCACTGACTGAAATAAACTCTTCAAGTAACTTGTATTCCATAGAATTGTGTCAATGTTATAAATTTCAACTACCCGTTATTTTTATAAAATAAAAGTCTGGTTTTATCGTTGCTCGGCCCCAAGGTAGAATATTTTAAGGGCTATTAACACAAAATTAAGCAGTTAAATTCTCCAAAATATAATTGAGATTGGCCCTTTAAATTGGAACAGTATACTATTTATATATTGCCGATGTGAATAATGTAGTGATTATAATACGTTCAATTAGGGTTGCAACGATTCATCGATTAACCGTGATGTTTTAAAAATCTCTGAAGCACGATACAATCAATGGCCGTATCGCGATTCGTTATCCAAATAATAATTTCACAAAAATAGACTGATATTCCTTTAAATGCGTAAATAAATCCATGAGCAAAATAACGTTTTTTACTTTCGGCGGAAATTTCAAATTTTTAAGTTATATTTTTAAAATTTATTAAAATAAAGCCTGAAAATAGATGGTAACCATAAACAGTCCTACCTTGTTAAAGAATAATCCTATTAATCCTATTACTCACTATTGCCAGCTGAGAAATTGGCAAAAATATCATTTTCCTCTTCAAATTCAAACGTTTGAAAAAGCTACTCCATTGTGGAGAATATAAAACAAGGGAGGTAACTGGGATGTAATTGTGTTATTATTTCCTGTGTAAATGAGTTTTAAGTGTGAGAATGACACCTATGATCGTATAATTGTGAGTTGACAACCTATTGAGCAAAAGACATAGAAATAATTATGTTTTGACTTTCTTAGAAAATTTGAAATTTTCGCTTTAAGGCGTTTTCGACACATGAAGTGGCTTATTTATTATAGCTATTTCGTCAAAATTAAAATATCAGCCTGGTTAAAGATATATTATGGGAGATTCGATAACGAGTTGGCAGTTCTCACTATAATAGTTAAAAACTAGATAATGTAAAGGCAATTTGCTGAAAATTTCATTCAAATTGATCCCCTATGAACCGAAAGCTAAGCGAATGAAATTTCTGCCTAGCCTCGGTCATCATTACTAAAGTCAGTACGGTAAACAGCATAGTCTCGATTATCCATTTAATCGTTTAATCGAGAAGGAAAGTTATGCAGTAAATCGGCTCACAATCCACTTAAGATAACAGGCTAGTGATGCCATCTTGAGTTGATTATGTCCTGGATAAGTTAATTAATGTCTAATTAATAATTTAGATAACATTTCAGGCCTAAAGAAATACCTGCAATAGACAGATTTAGCTCTTGCATAATGTATGTTTAAGCAAGTCGTGCTGGAAATTAAGTTGCATTCAAATTACACGCTTGAATAATATGCAGAAAATAAACAACATATTATACGTTCGTAATATGCGATTTGTGATATTATTACTGTATAAGAATGGCGATTTGTACATGCTGCATACATTGATCGGCACATTTTCAATGTATATTGATATTTGATATTAAATTGCTGTTAAATTTTGACAGTCTTTCACTGTGAAAACTCGAAGGCCTACTTTTATGATTTACTTTAAAGTAGCTAAGTCTCTAACTCAATATCATCCAAAGTCTTCGACATTGAAAACACGAATAATTTGTCAATTTAAATCAACATTGATGTTGTGATCTTACCAGGAAAAGATGGACTTCTTATATCCAATATTTAAGACAAAATAACATTTTACCTTTGGTACCATAATGCGTTTCGGCGCCATTTGTAACATAGGACTCGAAGAACGAGGCTAGACATATTCCACAAGTCATGTCAAACGGCGATGTCATATTATTATCTGGAGAGCATGCGCAGTAAATACTATCGGTGTAGACAGAAATAACTGACGCTAGAGATTGCCAAACATAACTGAATTGAAATTAGGGTAAAAACGGAAACGATTGAATGTAAATCAGTTTATACACATTCATATTTAATTATTATATGTGTTGCGACCAATTTGTGTCAATTTCTAGATCCCATATATTAACGACTTAGCTCCTTTAATGTCATGTTTCATGACCAGGCAATTGAAAGTAGGGCTGCAACGATACGCCAGGCCACGATACGATACGCATGATCACGCTTCATTATCTACGATACGATTAATATCGCGATATAGGAAATAAATTTAAAAATTGCTGTTAAATTTTGACAGTCTTTCACTGTGAAAACTCGAAGACCTACTTTTATGATTTACTTTCAAGTAGCTAAGTCTCTAACTCAATATCATCCAAAGTCCTAGACATTGAAAACACGAATTATTTGCCAATTTAAATCAACATTGATGTTGTTATCTTACCGGGAAACGATGGGCTTCTGATATCCAATATTTAGGACAAAATAAACATTTTACCATCGATACACGAATCGTGTACCATAATGCGTTTCTGCGCCATTTGGAACAAGGGACTCAAAGAACGAGGCTAGACATATTCACCAAGTCATTCAAACGGTGACACATATTTTTATCTGGAGAGCATGTAATAACCAGACGCTAGAGATTATCATTCGATTGAGACTACTGGCGTATTTCGCCCAACATAACTGATTAGAAATTACAGTAAAACAGAAACGATTGAATGTAAATCAGTTTATATACATTCATATTACATTATTATATGGGTTGCGACCCTTTTGTATCAATTTCTAGCTACCAAATATTAGCGATTTAGCTCCTTTAAATGACCCACATGTATTTGGTATGTCATATATTGTTATGTTAAACTCAGGTTCTGTAAATTTGCAAAATGACCTCCAAAATGACACTAGAGACCATGCATCTGTCAAGAATTTGTATATGGCATAACCGTGGTAAAATCCGACGCAAACATCATTTTCGTTTTTCGATATTGGCAAATGACGAAAAACGAGCTTAGCAGTGGATTCACATAAAAACTGCACTTTTTTCCTATTTTTAAAATATATTGGCGAATGACGAAAAACGAGTAGCTGGTTTTTCGATATTCAAAATTAAATCTCAAGTCTATATCAGTTTTCAAAAACAACCCAATTTCGTCATTCGCCAATATCAAAAAACAAGGACAAAGGTCTAGTTTTTAAGTGAATTCACTGCCCAGGCATGCTCATTTATGATGTCTTTAGTTCGTTAATTTTGTTTTAGAAAACTGGTTTAATCAAATGTGTTTTGGAGATGTTCTGTAGATATACATGATTAAGCTCTGCATGTTTTGCGAGTAGCTCGATTTTCGACATTCGCCAATATAAAAAAAACAAGGGGAAAGGGCAGTTTTTTATGTGAATCTACTGCTCAGGCATCCTCATTTATGATATCGTTAGTTTGTTTTTGAAAACTGATTTAATCAGTTAACTAGCGTGATCATAAGGTCTGCCATTGAGTCAACTGGCGTGGGTTCGATTCCCGGTTGTACGTGACAAGGAGTAGGATTGCCTGTCCAACCTCGTGGGTTTTCTCCGAGTCCTCCGGTTTCCTCCTACTGCTAAAGACCCCTACACGCAAGCGAATTATTGAAATAAAATTAAACCATATGTTAGTCCCTAAATGACCCAGTTTGTGTCGAGTGGACGTTAAACCCCATTTCTCTCTCTCTCTCTCTAGAGAGTTGATTATTGGCTTGTCATCTGAGTAAATGCCTATGTAGATTTAATTATGCATGCGTCTCTAAATATCGTTCTAACTTCTTTTTTTTTTTTAATTTGTATCTGTAGGTATAGATTGTGACGAGTGTGCTCTAGACCGTACTCATATATTTGATAGCGATACCATTACTTGTTTATTTGGTTGCTGTTATTATACTATCGGTTTTTCTAGCGACGATATATGCTGTAACCCCTCGTAAGTAGCCATTTTAAATATACAATAATTGTATAATAATCCATCTATCTATCTATCCATCCATCCATCCATCCATCCACCCACCAGCCCATCCATCCACCCACCCACCAATCCATCCATCCATCCATCCATCCATCTATCTATCTATCTATCTATCTATCTATCTATCTATCTATCTATCTATCTATCTATCCATCCATCCATCCATCCATCCATCCATCCATCCAGCAAGCCAGCCAGCAAGCCAGCCAGCCAGTCATCTATATGACTATTTACCCATCCATTTATCTATTTATCCATCTATATATCCATCCATATCAGATGCCAACTGATTCTCGAAGTTTTCTGACAATATCTGTCGAAGCGATTGCCCTTAATTCAACGGTTTTCGATGTATGTGTACCTCTACGAGGAATGGAAGTAGAAGCCTATGACTTCGAGGATTGTTGTGACTTTTTGTCAGCAGCATGCCAGTGTTCTCTACTGCTTCATGGTATGGGCTAGTGCAATAGAAAATCAGCGTAATTGGCAGTATGATGACTTGAACTATGCATTCTTACTTTTGTATATTGTATATTTCGGGACTAACACATGGTTCGGTTTTATTTCAGTGATTCGCTTGTGCGTAGGGGTCTTTAGCAGTGGGAGGAAACCGGAGGACAGGCTACCCTACTCATTGTCAAGTACAACCGGGGAATCGAAACCACGCAAGTTGGCTCAATGACAGACCCGATGATAGGCTACAACGAGCACGTGCTAACCATTCGGCCATCCATCTCCCTCCCCCCTCCCCCCTGTGAAATTTATGGCATCGAATACCAGTCTATACTTTAGCGGAACATTTCAACGAAATTCTTCCGATTGTCGGTCTTTAACTTAAACATACAGTATGCAAGAGCTAAATCTGCCTATTGCAGGTCTTTCTTTAGGCCTGAAATGTTATATAAACTATTCTATTAATTAGACATTTATTAACAAAACAAGACCATAATCAACTCTCCATGGCATCGGATAATAGAGATTTTAACTAGATTAAAACGGTTCGCCATTTCAAAATTAATCTAAAAATGGGAAAGCGAGGCTAAGTCCCGATTATACCAGTGCCCTGGTTACCACTGTGCACTCATCTTGTCAAAACTACAAACAATGATAACTTGGCTAAGAATGAAGTAATTTGAATGAAATTTTCAATAATTATTTTATTTTTTCATCATCTATTTTTGAATTATTATAGCCAGAATGACCAACTCTTTATTAAACTCTTAATTAACTAAAGTATCTTTAAGTCTGAGAATGCTTTGTGAACTTGGGGTCTGGGGACTCATTTCCAATCTTAGATGGATGCATGCCCATTGTCCGGCCCGGGTCGGTTGTCAAACTCCGTTTTTTCCGACTTGTCTTCTACCTTTCTGATTGTAGGTCTGCAACTATAGTTGGAATGTCTGCTGGTGGTATTGCTCTTCTAGCTGCTTGCATTGCATGCTGTTATTGTTGCTGCTGTCGACGCCGTGGAGATCCGGGAGTAGTGGTCATCAACCCAAATGCAACTCCAACAACGACAGTTGTATCAAATGTAGTAGGTGAGTTGTGGGAGGGTTGAACGTCCACTCGACACAAACAATGGTTCAAATTTATTTCGATAATTCACTTGCGCATAGGGGTCTTTAGCAGAGAAATCCGGAGAACCCAGAGAAACTCTACGAGGTTCGACAGGGCACCGTACGCCTTGTCACGTACAAGCGGGGAATCGAAACCATTTCATTTGACTCAATGGCAGACATAAAGATCTGACGCGCACGGGTTAAATTATTCCGGGTTGGTGCAGAAAAGTAGGATATTATATCCCGTTTTATTTCATTTTATTCCGGACTTTGGTTTATTAATCCAGGTTTTGGGGAACCGGACTTTGGTGTATTACCGTTCAGATGGGACGAAAACCGAGGTCCCGTGTACACATTGGCGTGCACGTTAAAGATCCCTTGACAGTTGGAATTCGATATAAGAGTAGACCGTAGTGCCGCTGTCCGGGCAAAATTTCCCTCATAGCACACTGTATGGCGTATGCCCGTCTTCATTAGCCCAGTTCGGAGCAAAACAGTAGGACGTTAAACCCCATTTCATTTCATTTCATTTGGTGTATTAATCTAGGTTTTGGGGAACCGGAAGTATCGCATTTCAGAATCATTGCTTTATGTGATTGATATTTATGACGTAAATGAAAACCATATTTCTTTTATTACAGCACAAGGAGGTTACCCTCCTCAGCAGGGATATTCTCCGCAACCTGGGATAGTGCCGCAACTCGGATTTCCACAGAATCAGGGTTATACACGGATGGCGTAACTCGATTATGCACAGACGCAGCAACCTGCCATTTCGAATTTTTACCATCACGAATTCTCGAAATTAAATTTTTAAGACTATCGCTGTCATTTTATTACCAAATTAATGTTGTTGTTTTGTTTTTATATTATTCTTTTAAATGGTTTTATATTACCAAATTTGGCAGTCATTTTGAAAGAAATGTCCGCCATCAAATGAAAAATACATTTTTTTAATTGATTTTTGTCAAACTCGATTTTTGACACATTTCGCTTGCATAACCACTCTGTGTTTGTGGAATTTAAAACGAAATTATTTATCCCCCCACCACTGAAAGACACTGATTACGAGATATCGCTCTCCGATAATTCCTGAAGAACGCCAAATTGAATTCTGTTAATCATGTAATTTTTCCTTGGCCGATTTTGAGTATGATTTTGTCTGACATATTTATCATTGAACCAAACTGCATCGGTTTCTTTAGCAATTTGTTTAGGATAAAATTTAGCTGGTAAAACGTTATACCACGAAAAAAATAAAACGTTTTGTTAAGTAAAGCTATATGACGCCATGACGTAATAGTTTTTTATGGCGTCATAGTTGGGACCCAAAAAGGCGCCTGTAAATGAGTTGTAGTAACTTTCCCTATACAGGGCTTTGGCAGCAAGAAGCTTTAATGATCTGGAGACGGCATGACGTCATTTTACCATTATGACGATGCAAGCCAGATACGCCATTTTGATTAACCCAAAACATTAAAATTTTGGGTGGAGTAAAAACTTATTTTTTCTTAAACAAGAATAACATAATACCCAATTATACTAGAGGAAATTTGTTTAACATAGTAAAAGGCAACACATATTCAGATATAAATAATAAGTTATTAATTTATAATAAATCATGTAATGTCTATGAAGGTATAAAATTAAAATTATCATCTCAAACCGAGTAGCCTATATACAGCAGATTGTATAGATTTATGAATATCGACTTATTTTATGGCTGGTATCCAATTTCCCCTGATTTTGGTTTCGATTTTAAAACGTTTGCAGTTTCCAACCATTTATGACCATAATTCCGCATTTAGCCCCGGATTAAACTTGTCAGAGACGGACTGGGTAGCTCTGTGTCCTCGGACCAACTGGTTTCATTGGGCCCGGACCCCATCGGAGTGAACCATACGTGACATGACGAGAAAACGAAACTAGTTTGATTCACTATCCCTGCACCTCACTCGCTTAGATTGTTTTTCTCCTCAGATTGAGGCCATTCTTTTTTCAGTGGATAAGGAGATAGAGAGAGAGAAATGGGGTTTGACGTCCACTCGACACAAACTAGGTCACTTCGGGACTAACATTATGGTTTAATTTTATTTCAATAATTCGCGCTTGCGCGTAGGGGTCTTTAGCAGTGGGGGGGGGGGGACCGGAGAGAGAGAGAGAGAGAAATGGGGTTTAACGTCCATTCGACACAAACTAGGGCATTTCGGGACTAACACATGGTTCAATTTTACTTCTATAATTCGCATGCGCGCATGGGTCTTTAAGCAGTGGGAGGAAACCGTAGGACCTGCAGAAAATCCACGAGGCTTGACAGGCGACCCTACTCCTTGTCATGTACAACCGGGGATTCGAAACCACGCCAGTTGACTCAATGACAGGCCTTATGATACAGCACGCACGTGCTAACCATTTGGTCACACCCCCCCCCCCTAAAAGATTAGTGATATCAATTCGGACATTGCTATTGACTAACATTAAATATTAATGAAATATATACGAAGATAAACTATAACATATATACTGTTCTGTGTATACAAATAAGCCTACCTGTGTATCAATCATTCAAATTTAATTTATGTAAATATTCATGAATTATATTATATAAACATATAGAAAATGTATTATATTTCGTTTTATACGAATGTTTAGATGTTGTACAGAGCTGGATTTTGTACATACTTTCTGCTGCAGTGCTGGGCTAATGAAGACGGGCATACACCATACAGTGTGTTATGAGGGGAATTTTGCCCTGGCAGCGGCACTATGACATACTCTTAAATCGAATTCCAACTGTCAAGGGGTCGTTTACGTGCACGGTAATGTATACACGGGACCTCTGTTTTCGTCCCATCCGAACGACTAGATAGCTGTCCTTGTCAAGTCCCCCGTCCTGCACCACTGACAAGGGGAAACCACGTCGGAAAATCCTGATGATCTTTCTCGTCCAATTCAGGGATCGAACACGCGACCTCCAGGCTAGCGAGCCAGCGTCTTACCCACTTAGCCACCGTGGCTCCCTCGTTATAAAAATGTGCACTGTTATGTCTAACAGTAACAGTCTTGAACAGAAAAGATTTCAAAATTAATATACCCTACTGGAATGCAGATGAGGCCATAGCTAGCATGCATCTTTGATGGAATGACGTCAGTGGTTGCCTAGTAACCTAACGCTAACTCGTTGGTAGAAAAGTCATTGCAAGATACATTCTACAGAAATGTGACTGAATTACCTGAACAGCCAGATTAATGGCCATATAAAAATTTTCTTTTGAATCCAGTAGTTAAAGTAGCTATATCTCTATAACTCAATATCACCCAAAGTCTTCAACATTGAATACACGAATTATTTGTCAATTTAAATCAACATTGATGTTGTGATCCTACCGGGAGAAGATGGGCTTCTGATGTCCAATATTTAAGACAAAATAAACATTTTACCATTGGTACACGAATCGTGTACTATAATGCGTTTCAGCGCCATTTCTTACAAGGGACTCGGAAGAACGAGACTAGACATATTCCACAAGTCATTTCAAACGGTCATACTAGTCATAGATAAAGTTGCGACAACTGTGAAGCCATAAATTTCATATGACGTCATGAAAATATGACGTCAACTGTACAAAGACGCCATCTTGGGTCGTACCTAAATGACTACTCACTATCTATTTTATGTCCTATCATACTGTTATGTCGAAGTTAGCTGCCCCCGACAGGGATGTCGATAGATATGTCATAGAATTCCGCAAAAAAAGAGAGATAAAACATACATTTTTTAAACGAAAAGATGCAATTTGATTATGCACATGAAAATAATAGAAAATAATTCGCGCATCGCTTCCCTCGCCGGTAACATCTACGTTATCCCATTACAATAGGTTAATGAATCATCCCTAAATGCTTAAAAATGTAAATATACCTATTAACAAGTATACGAGAGTACCATATCTTGGAATTCTGGGCCCTTATTCACGAAAACTTAAACTAAGATACAATCGAAATTTTAAGAAATACTGCAATTCGATTGTCTGACCAGTAAAATCAATTTGCATATATCCAATGAAGTTGCAGTATTTCTTAAAATTTCGGTTGTAACTTAGTTTAAATTTTCGTGAATAAGGACCCTGGTGTTACATCAAAAATGGAACAAAGCACGCCAAATGTTTCATTTCGATAGTACTTATATTGGTAGAGTCTTAGGCTTTTTTCGAAGAGCGCCCTTCCCAAGAAGAACAAGAAGATGTGTAGGTCTTACGGACCAATTCCTGGTCCAAGAAAAAAAAATCAACAATGATCTCCTGGCTTTTCTCTATACTAGCAGCAACTTCTATAGTTGCATTGCAAGTCACGGTGTGGCACTGCAACGTCAAAATGGCAGATGAGAGAGAGAGAGAGAAATGGGGTTTAACGTCCACTCGACACAAACTAGGTCATTTCGGGACTAACATATGGTTCAATTTTATTTCCATAATTCGCTTGCGCGTAGGGATCTTTAGCTGTGGGAGGAAACCAGAGGACCCGGAGGAAACCCACGAGGTTGGACAGGCGACCCTACTCCTTGTCACGTACAACCGGGGATTCGAAACCACGCCAGTTGACTCAATGACAGACTTTATGATACAGCGCGCGCACGCTAACCATTCAGCCATCCAACCCCCCCCCCCCCCCCCAAATGGCAGATGAAAATACTTCTCAAAATTTGACTCGGTGGTTTCTTTAAAATCCCCTTTAAATTCGTTTCCTCGGTTGGTCTTTCTAAATTAAATACTATTTCAATTTGAACAGTTATAATATTCATGAGAGGAGTTGAAGAATGTAGAAAGTGGGCACAGTATATCTATATTTATCTGGTCCGTGTGTGTTGTGTGTGTGTGGGCAAAATTTCCCTCATAGCATACAGGCGACCCTACTTCTTGTCACGTACAACCATGGATTTGAAACCACGCCAGTTGACTCAATACAGCGCGCACGTGCTAACCATTCGGCCATCCCCACCCCACCCCTTCGTCATACAGCCGAGGCTAGAAGTAGGGTTCCTTGAGTCTGCTGACTTTTGCCGAGTGGCTAGATACATATTATGCAGGCAGCAGGCCTATATATTATGTTGAGCTTCAGAGTAACTTTTTTTTTTGTATAGTTTTAATCTATGTTAATTTAAAGGTTGTCTGATAAGAGTAAATCCACGGAGTTGAGAAGGCGCCCATATCTCACGCCAGGGATCGAAACCACAACCGGCCAGCTAGAGGTCGAAGCGCGATACTTTAGACCACTGGGCCATCCCAGCACCCACACCCCCACCACCCCCATGGGTTAATAAGATACTGACTGTCAGATATCCATGACTTTCGGTGACGTTTATCCTATTTCACTATTTCAAGGGAGGTAAGCTACATATTCAACACCAGGAACTAGACCACAGATTTTCCAATTCAGGATTCCTCTGTCAATATTGATTACGCTCATTTTGAGTGACGTTGATCCCATTTCAAAGGGAGGTAAGACACATATCCAACACGAGGGATTACACAACAGATTTTTCACTTCAGTATTTCTCTATCAATATAAATTACGCTCACTAAAGGTATACACTGACATAAATATCTAAAGATACTTTTCAAATTGTTCTTTTTGGTATTCAATTACGAAGTACGAATAATAGATTTCCATGACAATGAATTATAAATAATAACAGGTTAAATACACCAAAGGTTATAAAGTAAAAATACACGATTCACAGGTAGACCATAATATAGAATAGGTGAGATTGAATTATTTACAACACTCTGGCAGGTGCGACGACATTATGTTCAGTTTAATGAATTTTGCAGATATAGCCAGCCAGCGCTGCCTGTTTATTTTGGAGAATAAAACTGCTTAATTGTGTGTTAAAATCCCCTAAAACCCTCTACCGTAGGGAGGGAGAGAGAGAGAGAGAGAGATGGGTAGAGAGGGGGAGGGTAGCAGTGGAAGGAAACCGTTTTTCGATATTAAAATAAATACCCCTCCCTTCCCCTAGATTTCAGGGATGGATACAAAACACAGAGAGAGAGCGAAATGGGGGTTTAACGTCCACCCGACACAAACCAGGTCATTTCGGGACTAACGTATGGTTTAATTTTATTTCAATAATTCGCTTGCGCATAGGGGTCTTTAGCAGTGGGAGGAAACCGAAGGACCCGTATAAAACCCACGAGGTTGGACAGGCGATCCTACTCCTTGTCACGTACAACCGGGGATTCGAAAATACGCCAGTCGACTCAATGACAGACTTTATGATACAGCGCGCGCACGCTAACCATTCAGCCATCCAACCCCCCTCTACCGTAGGACCGAGTAACTAACCAAACATACGTGATACGTTTTCAAACAACTAAAACCCGACAGTCTTCATCTGGAAATGGAGACCGGTGTACCAAGCTGTATTATACGGTGTCTGGATAAAACCAGACTTTTATTTTAGAAAACAATGTGTAGGTGAAATTTACCTTTCGTTATCAAGTAGAGCACATGGGTCATTCATTGTATAGACCTCTAAAGGAACGGGAACCGATTATCAGGTCACCCGACGAAAAAATTTACCCGAAATCGTAAAAGGGTTACGTGTCCCGATAAGCAGCTTTGACGTTCACGTCCAAACGACTCAATATTTTGAGCTGAAATTTTGAGACATGGTAAATTCTCTATATTTTGGCCTTAAATTTCATAAGTACTCGGACTTTTATTTTTGAGACTCTGTTCAAATCGGGCAGATTTAACCCAAACCAAGGGGTTATCTACAGTTGACAATTTGCTTTTGTTTTCCTAATATGGTTGGTAATACACTACCATGATGTTACGTCTGGTAAGTATAATGAAGGCATCAGAAATAGAAAATTCATCGTGATCCGCATCCCCATATATGGGGTTTCTGGACGTTATATCTTTGAACGACTTTAATTTGGACCCTTCGCAACTAGAAATTGCAATAAGAAAAAATAACAATTGAATGTAAACCAATCTCTTTGTTTTTATATTACATTAAAGGGACAAAATGTAAAGAGCTAAACTCCGAACTGAGATATTGGCATTTGAATTTTAAGCCTAGCCTAAAATCGGTAAGATAAAAAACATAGTCTCGATAATCCATGTTCGATTAAATCCACAGTGGGCGTTGAGCAGCAAATCAGATTCAAATCCAGTGAAAATCCAAGACATAAGATAGTTTTATGGCCGTCATATTGACTTCATTGGTAAATATAACATGTCTCTCTCGGCTATTATTTTAGATATATTTAATTGACGCGTATACTATCTCCCTGATAATGTCTGTCTACTACATCGTTAACACTGTTTATCACGTGCATTTTGCATATCGATAGTCCGTTGGCCAATCACGCTATTTTACCGAGATTTCGCCTAATAGTTTGGATGCAGCTATGGCGGGTGTGGCGCCAGGCAGGATAAGCTTACTCTTCCGGACACCTGTTACCACTGTTTAGTCGTGTATTTTGTACACGGTGAACAGTCCATATTCTGATTACACTATTTTGCCTGATTACACTATTTTGCCTATACCGTTTTTTTAGGACTTCGAATTTTGTCTAATGGTTTGGATTGTTCGTATTTGGTTTTATTTTATTTATAGCATCGAGAGTTGATTAAGGTCTTGTCATGTTAGTAAATGTCTAATATAAGATACATTAGTTAAGAGTTTTATAAAGAATTGGCCATTCTTGCCATAATACTTCAAAAATAGATGATAAAAAAAGAAAATGTTCAAAATTACAGTCAAATGGTAGCATCGCTTGGCAGGCCTTTCATCACCAGTTTCCGATAGTGACATCAGCGACTAACGGTAAACGTTAGCTTGGTAAGCCATTTTTGATTTAATTTTAAATGGACCACTCTTTAAATCCAAACTTATCCCAGCCATCCGTGGGTCTACAGAGTTGATTTTGACCTTGTCGAGTAAATAAAGGTCTAATTAATAATTTCTATAACATCTGAAGCCTAAATAAAGACTTGCAATAGACAGATGTAGCTCTTGCATAATGTATGTTTAATAATTTATATAATATTTCAGGACTAAAGAAAGACCTGCAATAGGCATATGTAGCTCTTGCATAATGTATGTTTAATAATTTATATAATATTTCAGGCCTAAAGAAAGACCTGCAATAGGCATATGTAGCTCTTGCATAATGTATGTTTAATGTGCATTTAGACCCAATTTCGTCTATTTTAAGGTTCCAAAGAATAGAGTTATGCCCCCTTCGATGTGAAAATTATTATCGGATTGGCGGAGTTTCACACAATTGCAATATCATGTATTTGTATTTCCGTAATGTCCCGAACACGTGTGAGAACTCGTGATAATTGCATAGATGACAAATAACAAAAGTAACGAGTTTTTACTTTTACTCGGAAATAGACACAAGACTGGATTAGCCCAGTCGGTTCAGAACTGTAGAACGTTAAACCGTAAACCCGATTCCATTTTATTTCGGAAATAGACATTAAAAAACACATTATGTTCTTGATGCTATTTCACGGAATGTAAGCCATCGAGAGACTGGTTTTGCAAGTATATTGATAAATAAAAGTTAACAGTGAAAAGAGTCTTGATGAACAAGTCTTGATTGTTGCAGCAGGTGTTTGAAACATGGCTGTGATATTATGTGTTACCAGTTCAATTATTATATTATATCTATATTTGACAGGTAAATATGTCTATATAATATAATGATATAGGAAAACCACGAGAGAGAAAGAGAGAGAGAGAGCGAGAGAGAGAGAGAGAGAGAGAGAGAGAGGGGGTGGGGGGTAAATTAGAGGAAAAAGAGATGGGGTTTAAGCTAGAGAAGAAAGGGGGTTTAAATGACGAGAGGGAGAGAGAGAGAGAGTTGGGGGGGGGGGAGGGGCAGACTAACGCGACTGACGTGTAACGCCTCTCAACACAAACCAAGTCATTTGTGGGAACAACATAATATGGTGACATTTTATTTTAATAATTTGTTTGCGCGTAGCTGTCTTTTGAGGTGGATAGGCTCTCTCTCTCTCTCAATATTAATGAAATGAAGTGAGATGGGAGTTTAACGTCCTACTGTTCTGCTCCGAACTGGGTTAATGAAGACGGGCACACGCCATACATTGTGCTATGGGGGAAATTTTGCCCGGACAGCGGCACTACGACCTAGTCTTATATCCAATTCCAACTGTCAAGGGATCTTTTACGTGCTCACTAATGTGTACACGGGACCTCGGTTTTTCATCCTGCATCACTGACAAGGGGGAACAACGCCGGAAAATCGGGATGAACTTTCTCGGTCAATGCAGGGATCGAACAGTGTCTTACCCACTTTAGCCACCGGGACCCCCTTTACAATAATGTATAAATATATATAGGATATAGAAACGTAGTCATATACCACAATATTAATCATAAACAAGACCGTTTTTATACCGTTTTAAACACATATCAATATATCCATCTCGAATGTATATAGCACGTGCCTTAAATCAATAGTATTCTGGTGTATAACTAGTCGTTATTGAAGTTATACAACCCAGTCGTAAAACATGTTTATTATTCAACATGTGTGTAAAAGTCCTGATAAAATGAAATTAAATGGGTTTAAAATACAGATGTGACGTCATCCTTTGAAGTTGGCGTAACATTGTTTACAATACTATACGGGCAACTAGCCAATCCTACATTATCTATACTAGATGAAATATTGGACACGCGTGGCATATTTCATTGAAAAGCACGTGCGGGATAGTGTCTGTATTTTAAGTTGTTTAATGGCCTCGAGCTAATGACATTGCGTAATATATTGAAACAACACTCGGCTAACGCCTCGTGCAGTATCGATATATTACTTAATGTCTCGCTCTCGACCATTAAACCATGCTTTTAAAGTCACCACCCAGGCTAATGAAGATGGGCATGCCGTGCAGTGTATCATGAGGGAAGGTTGAACCGGACTCTTGCTGCGCATTGGATCATTAGGCCTGCCATTGAGTCAAGTGACGTGGTTTCGATTCCCCGTTTGTACGTGACAAGGAGTAGGGTCGCCTGCCAAACCTCATGGGTTTTCTCCGGGTCCTCCTGTTTCCTCCCACTGCTAAAGACGACTACGTGCAAGCGACTTATTGAGATAAAATTGAACCATATGTTAGTCCCGAAATGATCTAGTTTGAGTCGCGTGGACGTTAACCCAGCCCCCCGCTTCCTGTGTACTCTTGATTATATTTATTCAGGTTCAGTTACACATATTACTACCTTAACAAACGATTTGAAACTTTAAAAAAGAAAACAAAAATAAGGTTTGTTACTATTTCTGTGACAAAGTACTCTATAACTTTTATCAAATTGAACGATTATTAAGGTGCAGTGAGCTTATTGACCTCCAGTTGGTTTTGATAATACATGTATATATTATCTTTTCAATCCGTGGGTGGGATAGGAATGTGTCAAAGTGCTCTCTAACTTTCATTTTGGTTTCTGTTTAATTTATGTTCCTGTTGTATTTATGTAACTGTTTTATATTCTGTCCCTGATGTAAATAAATTTTATATTTACGAAACTGATCTCTGTTATCACTATAATAGTGTTACATTTCTTACAAAGGTTTTTGGGGGTTTTTTGGGTTTTTTTTAAACTATTTGTTCCTATTTCGTACTAAGTTGTGTCACTATTTCGTACTTATTCTTACTATACCACTCTAATTTATTTTTATTCCCATTTCTTACTAAAATGTTTTACTATTTCGTCCTATTTGTTTTTACCATTTCGCCCTGTTTTTGTCACTAGTTAGTAATGTTTTTATCACCATTTCGTACTACATTTTTTACAAATTCTTGCTGGTATTTTTTAGTATTTCGTACTATTTATTACTATTTCGTGCCAATGATTTTTACTGTTTCTTCCTATTTTTTATCGCTATTTACTAATGAGTCTTGTGCTGATTTGGGATTATTTTTCTTCTAGGCATAAATAGCGAACAGTGTGTTCGTACTAATGGTGTGGTGACAGAATCTCAGTTTTGTTTGTTTGGCTGTTGTGATGCCAATTTCGATATTGCAACTGGATTTAATAACAAAAATTTATGTTGTACAATAACGTAAGTATTTTAACATTTTAATAAAAATCAATAATCACGATGGGACGAGAGAGAGAGAGAGGGGAGAGAGAGAGAGAGACTAAATATGGTAATACGTGTCATTTACTAATTAGGTATAGTGTGGGCTTAATGTAAGTTGATTGAAATGTAATTCACTGACGTGTTTTTATCTACTTTCGTTTTTCAGTCTAGAAACTATAATAGGAATAGTTGTTGGTAGTCTCGTGCTGCTCCTTATTTTGATTGGATGCTGTCTTATCTGCTGTTTACGATGTGGTAAATCAACAATTGGCACCAATACCCAAAAAGGTCAAAGTTCAAATGATGTAGCTGGTTAGTATGGAAACACATGCTGGTCACGTCAAGTATTGATTTTAAGGCAGAGAGGGGGAGCAGAGATACAGAGAGAGACAGAGACTTTGCTTGAGCATAGATGCCTTTGGCAGTGGTAAACAACCAAGCTTAGAATCAAAACGGGGGATTGGATGGCCGAATGTTTAGCGTGCGCGTTGTATCATAAGGTCTGCCATTGAGTCAACTGGCGTGGGTTCGATTCCCTGGTTGTACGTGACAAGGAGTAGGGTCGCCTGTCCAACCTCAAAGGGTTTTCTCTTGGTCATCCGGTTTCCTCCCACTGCTAAAGACCCCTACGCGCAAGCGAATTATTGAAATAAAATCGAGCCATATGTTAGTCCCCAAATGACCTAGTTTGTGTCGAGTGGACGTTAACCCTCTCTCTCTCTCTCTCTCTCTCTCTCATTTCAATCAAATCACGACCCCTCTGACACACATTATGTTATCTTATTATGAGTGTTCTCTACGTGTTGTGGTATGCAACACTGTCTTTGTGTTCAGTGAGATGCGATTACAATCTTTGTCAATAAACAAGAAGATCGTCTCATATGTAATTTTAGAGCAAGAGCCTAAGTGCGTGTGCTGATACTTAAACATATATTATGCAAGAACTAAATCTGCCTATTGCAGGTCTTTCAGTATGCCTAAAATGATTTCTATATTATTAATTAGACATTAATTAACTTATCCAGACCATAATCAACTCTTGATGTCATCGCTAGCCTGCGATGTTTACTGGGTTAGGATCCGATTTACTGCTCAACGTTCATTCATGATTAAATTAAGAAATGGATAATCGAGACTATGTTTTTATCGTACCGACTTTAGTAAAGATGATCGATGCTAGGCCGAAAATTCAATCGCAAAATTCTCGGTTCAGAGTGGATCAATTTGACTGAAATTTTCAGCAAATTCCCTTTACATTTTCTAGTTTTTAACTATTATAGTGAGAACTGCCAGCCCTTTTTCTAATCTCCCATAATCTTTAAGCGACGAATATCGTTACTTGTATTGTATTTTGAAATAATATCATGGCTCTGGTTGTACTATTGTTTCAGGGCATCATCCGTACCAGCCCATTGGAGAGTCCAGTTATCCTGTTCAGAAATCAGGATAGCCGATATGACAACCTTAACTGTAACTTATAAACTCAAGAAAGCTCAAAACATTAATATATTTTAGCCTGTCCGGGGACGGAGTTTAGAAAAGTGGGTTATTAAATGTTATCTGTAGTGCTACAAAATCACACAAACAATGACGAATTTGCTTAAAATGTAAACACTTCACAATTAAATAAAACTTAAAATAGCACAAAGAGTGTTAAAAATTCACAATGACCCCTACGGAAGGGCTTCGCTTTTGTTGTTATATTTGTTTGGAGTGAGGGGATGTATGGTCAAATGGATAGCGCGTGCGCGCTGTATCGTAAGGTCTGTCATTGGGGCAGCTGGTGTGCTTTCGATTCCCTAGTTGTTTGTGACAAGGAGTAGGGTCGCCTGTCCAACCTCGTGGGTTTTCTTTGGGTTCTCCGGTTTCCTCCCACTGCTAAAGACCCCTACGCGCAAGCGAATTATTGAAATAAAATTGATCCATATGTTAGTCCTGAAATAACCTAGTTTGTGTCGAGTGGACGTTAAACCCCATTTCCCTCCGCCTTTCTCTCTGGGTGACGCTCTCCGTAAAAAGATCGACATAAAACTTGGCATTCGTGTTCCTTGGACATTTGACCATCGATTTCAAAATGAGCGTGGTGACATCATGGGACTAGTCGTTCACGTGGGCGAAAACAGAAATCTTGTGGAGAGGTCGGGACTCAGTGCTGGCCAAGGTAATGTGGTGATGTTCTGTTGTTGGAGGTAACCTGTAACGATCCTGGCCCTGTGACATCTTGCGTTGTCATCCTGGAAGATGAAACGGCGGCCATGACGTCGTGCGAACGGCACAACATGGACTGCCAAGATGTTGTTCCGGTAGTACTGGCCTGTAACACGCCCTGCAACAACATGTAAAGCCGTTCTTCCAGCAACAGTGATGCCTCCCCACACCATAACAGAACCACCCCCAAATCGATCATGTCTGATGACGTTAACGTCTTGGAAGCGCTCGTTTCGACGACGCCACACCCTCCTACGTCTGTCCAAAAATCAACAGTGAACCTTGACTCATCTGAAAACATCACATTGCTCCAGCGTCGATTATCCCAGTGTTGACGATCCCTACACCAACGACGTCTTGCCTGAATGTGATGATCTCTCAAACAAGGGATCACGCGAGGACGTCGGGCGCGAAGGTGACCCCTATGCAGTCGATTCCGAATCGTCTGGCCACTCACTCTCACACCAGTGTCTGTTTGAAGACGAGCGCTGATCTGATTTGCTGTGATGACACGATTTCTCAAGGCCAAGGTACGGATAAATCGATCCTGGGCTTGAGTTGTCGCCCTTGGTCGACCTGAGCGTGGTCTGTCCTGTACAGATTGTGTATCACGGTATCTGGACCATAGCCTGCTTATGACAGACTGAGAAACATTCATCGTCCGCGCCACAACCGCCTGTGTTGTGCCGATCTGTAGCATGCCAAGGGTAAGCCGACGCATATCAAAATTTGTTTTCTGGTCACTAAAACAATTAAACTGATGTTTCCACCCTGGAATTTCAATGCCACAATGACTGTAACATTCAAAGTCAGAGTCGTGCAAATCTTGGGTTGGACCCCCATGATGATCCCAAGCATCACCTGCATTCCATGCGGTAGCTATTGGTGCGTTTGGGCGTCACATGTAACTGGAAATGTTTCTTCTGTTAGGTTCTATAGTGACTTTTTTCGTAGTCATTTGCATATTTTAGTATTATGCCCCCAAAATCAAATATCCCCTACTTTTTTTGAATAGTATATGTGTTTGCGTGATGAGTCTGTAGCTGCACTATGTAAACAGCATACCTGCTGCACTATTAAAATTTAATCTTAGTAGAAAGTTAAAGAGAGCACGTGTGGCTTTATCATTGTTGAATAATGTTATGATTGGCACAACTACCTATTAAAAGGTTATCCAATTTAAGCTAATAATAATAATAATAATATGCATTAATATACATTTTGGTAATGAGTTTTCATATACTAAAGTGTACTACTTCCTCTAATTTGATGTAATCTATCATATCAACAATGATTCTATATACATGTACTAGAATATATGAGCCTCCTTTTAATTGTGAAATAATCAATCATATCTATGTAAGACTCCTATGTATAAAATAATAACTTTATTCTCAAATAACCGTTACAATAAACAGCGTAGAGAAGAAATAGTGTAATCTTATTAATATAACATAATAATAATAACATAATAAATATATATACAATGTGTTGAGTTGATGTAAGACTCCATGTGCGAGAGTATAATATTTCTTTTGTGTTTTTAAATCATCAATGGAAGATTCCATACTCTATAGTGTATAAACTTCCTTTTAATTGTTGATGGATAACTCTATATGCTAGAATGTATAAACACCCGTTTAATTATGAAATAATTAACCATATCAATTAGATAATCAATCATTACTAGAATATATAAAATTTCGGTCAATATTGAAATAATCAGTGATATCAATGAATGACTGCTTATCCTAGAATATCAATGAATGACTGCATATCCTAGAATGTTTCAACTTTCTTGTAACTTGAAATAATTATATCTCTAAATGACTCAATAGACTAGAATATATAAACTTTTCTTTAATTTTGTAACATTCCATTATATCAATGAATAATTTCATATATACTAAAATGTAAGAAGACTCTTTTAATTATGAAATAATCAATCATATCACTGATACAATCATATTAATAGCTGACTCCATGTTTGAATTTAACAGAAAAGTGCATATACAGCTTTTAGAAGTAGGAAAGATAAGCTTCTTGATTTTTATGGATTGGTTTAATTTTAAGAGAGCTCAAATGCTACTACCTCAGAGTAAAGCTGTCAATTATTACTTACGGGTTTATATTATTAGATGAATATGATACAACCAAATATGGTTTTAATAAAATGTTTGTAAACGTCAACAATTATTATAATATTTCACGTTATATTTATTCAAATACTTTATAAGTTTAATTTTGTAAGACTGTAATCGGCCAGACGTATTTGTTAGTATAAGTGGGCCACGAACCGTTATATATATGCGTTTGCGTGATGAGTCTGTGGCTGTACTATGTAAACAACATACCTGCTGCTCTATTTAATCTTAGTAGAATGTTAAAGAGAGGATGTGTGGCTTTGTCATTTTTAAATAATTTTATGATTGACACACCTGCCTATTTAAAGGTTATCCAATTTAAGCTAATAATAATAATAATAATAATATGCATTAATTTACATTTTGGTAAGTAAGATTTAAAGTTCCATTGTCGAGATATTTAAGTAAGAATCTTCACCTGTCGGTGGATCTGTAGTAGCATCGCCTACTTTGGTAATTCTCATTCTTATCTTTGTTGCCTCACAGACTGCCTCAAACTCGTTTATATTTCTCACTAATTTTGTTGATCCATCTCGGGTTTTTATATAGATGATCCCATCCCTACACCATGTTTGGGAGATTTTCTTTTCCTTCAATAATTGGCGGGCTTTAAAAGCAAGGGTAGATCTTAGTTTTGTTAGATCATCATTAATAAAAATCTTATTCCTTTTCATCACAACAGGTACGAGAGACAAATCGTGTGCAACAGCACCGCTTGTTTCCTGGGTCTTCAACGATGTTTCTTTACTTGGGTCATTTTTAACATTATTGACACCTGTATTTGTTTTGCGGGGTCGTATATTTTTTAGCCTTTTGGCGTTTTTCATGAAAGCTTGTTTGGTATAGTAGCCCTTGAATCTCACTATGATGGATCTAGGTTTGGAAACAGAATCATATGCGCCAGGGGGGCCTACCCTATGACTTCTATTTATGTAATTTCTGGTTATTAGGACATTAATGATTTTACCTACTTCGATCACTAGCTGGTCTGTGTCTTCTTCTTGTGTTTCTACGATTCCTATTACAGTAAACATTCCCGATTTCCATATATATTCTAATAAATTTGATAATGTTATAGCTAAAGATCAGAAGGATCATTTAAGTTTAGACAGAATGGCTGATAGTGTTAAAAATAAACAGGTTATATTACAGGGTCTCACCGAATCACTACTTGATGGTCAAATTTATGCTAAACCTTCGTTTCTAAGTTTTAATTCCATTTTAGTATTTTCTGCGCTGGGATTATCGGCAGGCGCCGTCGTAATTGTTATTTGGATATTTTCTAAAGTAAGGATTTAACATAAGTACTTCAAATTAGTTTAAGGAGCTGTACGGCTAATTGTTAGATTTTATCTTTCTTATAATCTATTGTATAATTATCTTTGATTTGTTATATATCTATTTACTTTTGTGGTCAAAAGACTTTTTGTGGGGCGGTAAGGTGTTGTTATAGTATACAGATATTACTTTCAGATCTTTAGTCATACATGTCTTATCACATCTCCCCGAAAATCCCCTTTCCTGCACAGTTTATTCACATTATAATTATTTAAATATTTAATGGTTTTCAAGATCTCTTATTCAACTTTTATATAGTTAGAGTCGAAACATTAATTGCGGTTTCCTGCAATGTTAGGTTCAGACCAAGTTTAGAAACTAAGAGGATTAAAAGTTACTTAACACTGATGATAAGGGTTAGCGCCGTTAGGGTATATATGGGAGTGAGTCCCGCGTCTCTTTACTCACTCACACTGTATATACCAGCACCCGAAATAAACGTCAGTTGTTCTTAAAAGTATTATTTTCCTCTAGGTAAGTCTAAACTACACTATGTCTATTTTGATATTTTAATTGTCTTATTGTAACATTTTAATTGTCGTATATATCACGTCATCCTAACCAGTTTTAAAGGTGTGTGTCTTACACGCTTTCTACGAAACTAGCTCAGGCAAGTTTCTAAGTATCGGAGCAAATCGATGCGCGAGCGATGTGCATAAGTGAAGAGAACAAAAAGGCGTGGTTTGATTCTGGGAAGTGAACGAAGTCCGACGTCTGTAAGCTATGTTACTGCCCGTGTCTTATCACTAGTAAAAGATGGCTAGAATATTATCCCTGACGTGTTCGCTTATTATCGTTTTCCTCTGTACGGCAGGTAAGTAAAACAGTAAAAATGCACCATCGATTTGTCAACGATATCATTGTGATGGCAGAAAGTTTTCATGAACTTAGATAGTGAAAGTAGCGGACATATTGATGTTCACTGCTTTTGAATTTTGATGTTAGTAGACCTAACTTA